CCCCGCCGCTCCCGCTGGGTTTGCGGGAGGAGCTGCGGCAGAGGCGGCGCGACCTGCGGCGTTTGGCGGCGGCGGGCGAGGAGGAGGAGGACGAAGAGGAAGAGGAGGAGGGGGAGGCGAGGGGCGGGCTGGGCTGCGGAGACCTGAGGCTGGCGAGCGGCGTCAGTCTGCTGGGCTGGGGCTTCACCAAGGTGGTGGCCCGGGCGGCGCTGGCGGGCGGCGGGGAGGTGGCCCTCAAGTCGGTGCACGGTTCGGGGCGGGAGGTGCGGCAGTGCGTGGAGCGGTACGGGGAGCCCGCGGGGTGCCGCCGCCTGGCCGCCTACAAGCTGCTGAAGGAGGTGAGGCTGCTGCAGCTCCTGCGGCATCCCGGCATCGTCCAGGTACGGCGGGGAGAGGGGGGCGGCGGGTTGCGCTCCCTCGGGTGGGAGTGGGTGTTCCGTGGTACCGGGGATGAATCGGTCCGCCCGGGTTGCCCCTCGCTGTCCCCGGGCGTCCCGGAGCTGCTGGCATCGCTGTGACAGTCCCTCCTTCCCTCCCCCCGGCAGCTGCACGGTCAATGCTACGATAATAGCGGAGATGCTGAGATACGGGTCACGGCCATGCTGGAGCTGGGAGCCCCCCTGGAGATGATTCAGCTCCTGCAGACCCCCTGGGAGGAGAGATTTAAAGTAAGAAAACAAAACAAAGGGAGTTTTATCAGTCGCTTTCGGACCGCAAACTGGGTAAACGCGGAGAGCCCCCGGTGACCGCTGGGGCAAACGGGGTTGTCGTGCTGACACTCTGTTTGCTCCCGCAAATTGTCCTTAAAATCATTTTGCTTTCACTCCTTTTAAGTCACATGGACATAGTCCTAGCCCGGCGTCTTGCCTTTATACCTCTTCTCTTTAAAGTGGTGTTAAGAGAGCTACATCTGGGAGGAAATGGCCAGAAAATCTTGCTCAGGGCTGGAGTGGTGTTTAATACCCGGTATTACAGTGTATTTCCAGTTTCCCCCTGTATCATTCCACTCCACGGAGGGGCTTTCCTAGCGAGGCCCCTCAGCAGGCTGGCTCTGCCTGGGGAAAGCCACCCCATTGCCCTGCGAGTTTCTTATTTTCTGCCTATTATCTATTTTCGGCAGCGAGCTGAGCAGCCTGTGTCTCACCGTGTGTTTGTGTGATGTTTCTGATCTCAGCCCATTAGGTATTGCTGTACTACAAACACTACGAAATTGCTTTCCTCCTGCTGTAGGTGCTGGGATCGCATCCCCGTTAGTGAGCTCTGCCTTGTCTCCCGAGCATCCCCCGCACGGGGACTCTTCAGCTCCCCAGGAACATAAACGACTTGTGACATGGCACTTATTTTGGTTATAGCTTGTATTACAGCTTGCCTCAAGGGCTCGGTTGGGGGTTCACTACTACTTGTTTGGTTCCCAGGAGGACAGAGAGGATCGAGTAGAAGCGTGGGTACCTTAATGGCAATAAGAAATGCCTCCGGGCAAAATAGAAACACAACAAAAGTCCCAAAATAAAATCCCTGCCTGCATGCGGTCCGCGATGTTGCAAAGGAGCCCTGCCATCCAAACCAGTGTGGCAACTGTGCTCACTCAGCTGCGGGAGGTGAAGCTGGGATTCTTATGATTGCTTCACTAATGAAGTTAGAATAGCGTCACGGCTTCCTGAGTAATTTCTTTTGGCCTGTGGAGCCCCACTTTTGCTTACAAACTATCCCGTACTGGCTTCTGCGTAGCTTTCCCAGCACCTCATCTTCTCAAATGTGCCCAAGTCTCTGTAGAACTAGAAACCCATGATGCTGGATTAGCTGGTGGTGAGGTCTGGTACGGTGGCATTAAGATTTTGATAATCTTTTTGACTGATGAAGACACTAATACAGGCAGAACTTACACTGGCACTGCCTAGTGCTCTTTCCTAATTAGGGTGTCTAAACGGATGGGATTCCCCTCTGATGAGCCACATCAGATAGGAGCGATTCTGCGAGCTGTTCCAAGAGAGCAAACCCTCACGCCTGCACAGATGGCTATCGGGGGTGGCGAGGGGTGGTGAGGGGTGGCATGGGTCTGCCTGGCACACCTACCTGGCGACACAGCTCATCTGATGCCAGGGCTCCTGATACTGAACACAAACTGCTGCAAAAAGCTACTCGAACAAAGTGATGGAGCAGTGTAAGTGCACTGCTCTAGCTCTGGCTTGTGCAAAAATCATTTACTGAGCTTTCTGCTGGAGCAGGTATTGCCTGACCTTTCCCTGCTGCCAGAAAGTTGACAGAAAAGCAAAAAAAAACACCTGGCAATAAATACATTGCATGCTTTGGCTAATTCTTCAGAAGCACGATTGTGTGCCCAAATTCATACTGCTGAGTGATGCAGCAAGGCATGAATCTGGTATTAATGACCATGGAGCCTCAGTCTGTATGGAGCAGCATGGGGGAAGGGAGGGGAATGTATTAATTCTATGCCAGAGTGGGAAAAAACCCTTCTGATTTCAGCTAGCAAATCAATATAGATCCTGAAACATGAAGGCTGCTATTGTTTTCCTCGCAGCTTTCTCCTCTAGTTCCTCTAACTCCAAACGTCTCTTTTTGCATACAAACGTTTTTTAAAAAATGTTGCTGAACTACTTACCAGTCAAATCCTGTGGCAATGTTGATAATAAATTTTGTAGCATACATATAATTACCTTTTAAGTACTATATGCTTTTTTTTTTTGCCTTTAATGTCATTGAATGCCCTCCCCTTTGTTCTACTTCCAATTTAATAGCTGTTTTTCATCTGTTTTTCCCATGCATATTCATCTTCTCTTTCTCAGATTTGCCTGAGTCTTGTGAAACTGCTGTTTTACTTGGCACATTCCCCCCTGGGTTCAATAGTCCTCTTGGATTTCCAGCCGAGGCAGTTTGTTATGGTGGATGGAAACCTAAAAGTGACAGACATGGATGATGCCAGCACGGAGGAACTGTCATGCAAGGAAGATAATGACTGCACACTCGACTTCCCTACAAAAAGCTTCCCTCTCAAATGCTCTGCGGTTGGGAAATGTGAAGGAATAAATGAAAAGAAGAATCTTTTCAATGCATATCGGTATGTCCAGTGAGATGGGGAGGAAAAACTGGTGGGGCTGAGCTCACACGCTGCCACGTAATCTCTAGCATCTCGTGTTTCTTCCATGCAGTGGTTCCCCCTCACCTCCGTCAAAGGGTACTTAAGGTACAAGGGTATATACAAAGGGTACTTTGAAGCAAGATTATTTCCCTTATAAGGCAGGAAAATAGTGTAGTTGTTGTCTGGTGAGAATGAAGGCATCTTTCTTCTGCTGCTCCCTTTCTCCAACGCCCTCGAGAAACTTGCCCCAAAGGTAGCACCTGGGAATTTAGTGTTTGCCAAACAAGCCCTGGCGCTTGACATCCACGGGCTGTGTTTGCTGAAAGCAGTGGCAGCGTGGGCTACCTGCCAAAGCCCACCAGCTTTGAGCTGGTTCCCCGTTGTTTGGAACAAGAGCTTACTCTTTCCTTGAACTCCAAGTCTCCCTATGGGCACCCATGGAAGAACAATGAAACAGGGAAGGGACAAGAGGCTGGGACTTCTGCAGCGCTTTGTGTAGGCCACCAGCTGAAAGCATGATGGCTTCCACTCGCCATTGATGCTTGGCAGGTCATGAGCTGGTGGAAGACTTAGCAGCTGGACATTTCCACAGAAGGACTTAGTAAGCATGGATTTGCAGGACTCGGTGTTAAAGAGCAAGTCCCTACATAGATCATTCTTAGCAGCTGGACATTTATACAGAAGGACTTAGTGTGGATTTGCAGGACTCAGTGTTAAAGAGCAAGTCCCTACATAGATCATTGCAGCATTGCAGTAACGTGCTTGTCTCTTGTAGGACAGAAGTTTTCTAGAAGGTTCAGGGAGTGAGTAGTCCTGCCTTTCCAGGGATAATAAGAATGCCAAACCTTTCCAGGGGAAGGGAAAGGTCTTTCATGAGTCTTCTTTCATATAGGTCTTTTTTTTTTTTCTTTTTTTTTGATGGGAAATGCATTGCTCAGTGCCCAAAACCAGCCCCGAGGAATGAGGGAAAGGACCAAACTTTCAGCCCAGCTCACAGGAACGGTCTGCGAGAAGACAATGAAGTCCTCAAGCAGAACTTAACAACCAAAGCAGACTCACTAGTTGCATATGGATAATGGAGTCACGGGAAAATGTAGACAACTTAACCACGAGGGAAATTAAGCAAGTGTATTCTAATCAGTCTGTGGGATTTTTTGCAGGTATTTTTTCACCTATCTTTTGCCACACTCTGCGCCACCGGCTTTGCGGCCCTTTTTGAGCGACATTCTGAATGCAACAGGTACCGGCTAATATTCATAAACTTCATTATTAGAAGTCTCCAAATGGTTTCTCGTGGAATTACTCAGCTTTGTCATCTTTTTCTTTAAATGTAGGTGATTTACGATATGGAATAAATGAAACCCTGCAAGCTTTTGAAAAGGTTTTACATTTGTACAAGTCTGGGCTCTATCTGCAGAAAAGGCCTCTTCTTTTAAAAGGTACATGGTTTTGAATGCTTTAAGGGAATGAGGAACATGGTAACTGGTCAAATTCTGATCTCACATACATTCATGCGCTGTGTAGTCACTAGGAAAAGCACCAAAAGTATCTTTTTTGAGCAGTCTTTTGTTGTTTTTTTCCTGGGAGCTAAGCATGATTGCATTGTTTTGCAAAGTAAATGCAGTGCAGACAATCTGGCCTGCATATGGACATATGTTCTCACTGCTTCCAAAGGCTCTTCTCATAATGTGCATCAGTGTTTCAAGTGAGTATGTTTGGGATAGCTTCAGCAACTAGACCAGAGCAGCAAACCGAGCGTTTCCTGTCTCTCTTTGGGGTCATCTTCTCCTACGGACCAACAGATCAGGTTTTTTTGGCTGATGTTCAAACTTCCCATTTCACTTGGTGGCTTCTGACTGCACAGCACGGGTTATTATGGGAACGTTCAGCAGGGATGTGACAACACTGAGATGAGTGTGGCAGAGTAGCTGGGGCCTTGGTGTCCTCTAAATTTTTTTTCCTGAAGACCGTCCTATTGGACCTGTGGATGGATAAATGAGCCTTTATGAGGTGCATTCCTCTGAAAAGGACCCGTTTGGTGGTATAGATGAAGCTGGTGGTGAGACACTGGCACAGGTTGCCCACTGTGGATGGATAAATGAGCCTTTTTGAGGTGCATTCCTCTGAAAAGGACCCATTTGGTGGTATAGATGAAGCTGGTGATGAGACACTGGCACAGGTTGCCCAGAGAAGCTGTGGAGGCCCCATCCCTGGAGGTGGTTAAGTGGAGCAATCTGGTCTAGTGGGAGGTGTCCCTGCCCATGGCAGAGGGGGTGGAATGAGGTGATCTCTGAGGTCCCTTCCAACCCAAACCATTCCATGGTTCTATGAGTTTCACCGAAGTGCAACATACTAAGTGTACAGTGTGATTGGTCTCTGGAAGTGCACTTAAAGAGTTTCCCTTTCACCAAAGTGCAACATACAAAGTGTACAGTGTGATTAGTCTCTGGAAGTGCACTTAAAGAGTTTCCCTAAACACCCTTTTTCTGTTCCCAGACTACATCTCCCTAAAGGGCTTCCGAACGGTGGAAGGAGAAGACTACAAGTGCTGGCCCTCCTACAGCCACCTGGGATGCCTGCTCTCCGTTCACGGCGCCGAAGAAGCTGCTGCAATTTGTAACTCCCAATCGCAGTGTCAGAGCTTTATCATCACCCAGCAGAGGACATGGACAGGTGAGCTCGGGCAGATGTGACAAGACGCTGCCACGTGGTGCCCCTGCTTCCTCGGTCACGAGCGAGGATGATGATGCTGCCCTCCTCCATAGTGCCTTGAGTCTACAGGCGGATATAAAAGCCACCTTCCCTGTTCTCAAGATCAGATGGCTGCTGCAGTGGGCATCCAAGGATCCCCTGAGTATTTGTTAGGACACACGAGGGAAATTATCTTCTCCTTCTGCAGATTCTTTCCTCTACAAATTTTGCACAGGACAGCTAGGTATTGCTAAACAGTTATTTATTTCATGCAGAGGTGGCTTCACTTTGGTGTTTGGCTAAACAATTCCTGTGGTGTGTATAGTCTGCAAAAAGCTGTGGGGCTTTTAGAGATGAAAGAAGCTATGTGAAAGAAGGTGGTTACTATTGTTTATAATTAAAAGAATCATAGCTTACAAGTTGTTATCCCCTTTATCAAAACTAAAGCCCCAAACCAATGGGTTTCCAAAATGTCCCTGTAATTAGCTCTGATTATAGCCTCTTACAGTTAGCATGTTTTCAGAATTATTATAAATTACCTCATTCAGCTGACACTTCAATCGTGGGCTAAATTGTTACTTCTAAAGTGAAACACTAAATGAGGTAAATGAGTGTTTTCACTCATTATGGTGCTGAAGAATCGCTTCTTCTTGGCTCACATGACCTTCAAAATAAAAAGCCCCCAAACTACCAAAAAGGCAGCTTTTCCATGGGTTCGTGTGCCGTTGGCATGTGGCTAGCCAGTGACATCAGAGCGCTCGCACTGATGTGACATAAATCTCCTCGAGCTGGTTTCACACCAGCAAGGGATTGTGTGAGTTGTGCCTAATGCATCTCATCTGGCTTCCTCACGGGGCGGCTCTCGGTGCCTGGCTGGGAGGAACCCTGCTAAAAACAGCAGTTGGGGGTGCAGAAGAAGAAGCACAGGGGACAGAAGACCCTTTCTGCAGTGGGTGGGTCAGATGCTGATCCCTGCCATCCCGCACCGTGCCTGCGGTCTCAAAATGTTTCCCTTCCTGACATTTTTACAACACGTTTTTGCAGCCAAAGATGCTAAAAGTGTGTGGCTGAAATGCAGAGTGCCTAACTTTGCCGTTTGGATTAATGGGAGCTGTGGGGACGTGCTGGTCCCTCTGAGGACAGCTCTGCAAAGCAAAGCAAGACGTAAAAGCCTCTGGGGCTCGATTCCTTGTGCACAGGCAGTGAGCAGCTGGAGTTTACCAGGGGTGTCAGCCACATCCGTGGCAGGGTGTTGAGCAAGCAGTGTGTTCCTGCGTCTTTTGCAATAAATAGCATGGGTCAAGGTGAACCTATCTCCTCTATTAAACTTGTATTTTTATTTCCTTTCCAGGACGCCCACTTGCCTCGTTTCAAAGTAGCCTGGCTGATTTAGTACCGGATGCTAACGCTGTAGTCTATATTAAACGATCGGCTTCCTCGGGGAAAAGACTTTAAAGACAATGAGATCACATAATATGATCCTGGGAGGAACAAACCACTGGGGAGAGTTTCATCTGCTGAAAAGAATGACATATTTTATTTTGCTTTGGGATGGGATCTCTCTGCCAGCTCAGATAGAGTCGAATGCTGCTGTCTCCTTGATCAAAGCTGAGATTTCTCATTGCGCCCCGCTAGCTTCTTTATCTGTTCCCACACTGCTGTTCTGCATAAACGCTCCCAGTTTTAGTCAAATGTTGTTAGAGACTGTGCAATGCCCAGCCTTGCTGCTTCGCTAACCAGCTTGTCAGCCAAGAAATAGAAATAGCTGCAAGGGATCCGGCTTGGGGAGGCTTAGTTAGTTCAGTCACCTCCAAAAACCTATGGATAACGCACCTTGGAGAAAGCAATGGCTCCTTCTGCAGCTGCTGACCAGGATTTCATACCACTACAAATGTAAAGGACTGGATTTCAGCGATGGGTCGAGGTTGCAGGGTTGGGATCCATAACCAGAGGTTGATGATGGGGGTGGTCTTCCAAGGAGGGTCCTGATTCAGTTCCTTCCAGGGCAGGGGAGGGAGGTGGTGTGTAGGTCAATTCTAGAACCAGATGTTTGGATGCAGGATTTGGGTTTGACCCTATGTGATTTGTAATGCCAGCTCCCATGTATCAACCTTGAAGGTTTTTCTCTGTTACTTTCCGTGAAAGAGTGAGACATTCAAATTATTTATATATAAGGCGTTACTCTGTATGATAAAGAATGACTATGTTTAAGCGTGCTGTGAAAAGTCTTTCTCTTTAATTGTCTAAGTCTTTAATGCAACCAAATGAACAAATGCAAGTGTTCCCCACCTTCAAGTCACCTAGCATCATCACCCATTCCTGAGGACAACCTGTGAGGGGGCTCAGCCCAAGCCCCTTGGACACTTGGATCTTGGAGGGTGCTTTCTGGCTGGACTTGCAGGCTCACGGGCGTAGAAGAGACAGTCTGATCTCAAGAGCTTTCTGCATCTGCCCTTGGCTAAAATGTAGGTGTGGCCTCAAAAAGTAGGTGGGGGGAGTAGTAACATTTCAGGCTATAAAAGACAGCAACGTAATGTTCTGCTCCCAGCAGTGCCTGGAAGCACTGACCATACGGTACCTCTTCTTCTCTAGCATGGTTGGAGAAAGCCCAAATCACATCTGACCTCCCATCCTGCAAGGGACTGTCCCTGGCCTTGGGCAGGAGAGCAGTGCTGGCTGCAGCCTCTGTGAGGCCACTTTGAGTTCTCCACATGACCCACGTTGCTGGGTGGACACAATGGCTGTGGGGACATTGCCATTGACTCCTCATAGCCTATGGTGTGGCTATTTCCACGCAGACCCCTCTAGCAGCTGGGGTACCCCCCGACTAAAGATGTCTGAGCTCTGGCCTGGGGTTGTGCTGGGTTTTTCATGGTCTGGTCCCGTGTTTCCCAGTGGAGGATCTTGCCTTTCAGCTCGTTAGTACTCCATTAACCCAGAGCAATGGCCTTGCATGGGGGCTTTCTCATGCGCTATAACCCCTGCTGCTCAGCTGAGGCTGGGGGGAGCTGATAGCGATATCAATTAATGAGAATTCCTAGTTAGCACAACAAGAAGGCTCTTCTTAGCGATGGCCACATTGCTGCAGGCTTTGTGAAGGCAAGGCTTTTTAAATGGGCAGCCACAGGCCGTTCTCTCCATCACAGTGGGTCCTGTGGATGTTGAAGGGAAGGTCCTGCCAGGGGTCCGCTATTGTTTTACATCGACCCCACTGAGCAGGGTTTCAGGCATCTGCTGTGGGGTGCTTTACATTAGCAAGAGGTAATGAGCGTTCATTCCATATCTCTCAGCCTCCTGAGATACGAATCAGAAGTACATTCCCCAAAGCCAGGGCAAGGGCCAGCCCGGGGTCATTTCCGAGAGGAGGAAACAGTGGGAGAAGGCAGAAGTTGAAGTGATTCCAGTTTGTGTTAGAAAAATCCTCCCATCCTAAAAATCTCTCCTGGTAAAAACCCACATTGTGTATTTTAGTCATGCGATGTTCCTTTCACGTTGCCAGTTTTTCCGTGAAGCTTTCATTGTATGATTGCCCACCAGGCAGTCACGTCCAGCCCCTCAGCAGATGGAGGAGGGTATGGAGGTGGCACTTCTCTGAATGTAGGTTCCAGCATCAAACCTGCAGTTAGAGCCTGGGAGCAGAGATCGTACCATCCAGCCTTGAAAGTTTTCAGCATACGGTGCTAAAAAAATAATAATATTTAAAAAAAAAAAGATAATGAAAAGGGAAATCAGGCTTCAAGGAATCCCGATGCTCGACCTGCTGTTGCCACAGTGAGTGGGGTGGACTAAATGTCCACCCCTTGCAACTGAGAAGGTGCATTCTTAGAGCCTGGGTCTCAATGAGCACATTCATCACACTGGCACAGACAAATAGCAAGGGAAGAGGCACATTCATGTCCCATCTGTCCATGTGCCAGAAACCTAGAATGTGCCTCAAATCTCCTGGTGAAAGCGTATGCACCGATTCTCCTCACACCTCTGTGCAGCTCCCCATGGCACGTGGCACCTGGTGGGCATGTCGGCAGCAGTCTGATCTGGGGTGACATCCCACCACAGGCCAACGGTGCCCAGCAAAGGTTGAGTGAGGGAAAGTGCTTTATCATCCTGCTGCATCTAGAGCCATAGTTTGATGTGTGTTTGAGGAAACAGCCACTGGAAAAAGTGGTTCCCATGCTGCTTTTCCCCAGCTTTTTGCTGTTACCATCTGCTAAGAAACCGTTTCCAACGGCCGTGCCACTTTGAAAGCATGGAGAATTAATTCTCTGGTAGCCTGCAGTGGGCAGGCTGGGACCCCTGAGCCTCAGGCAGCTCAGGGTGGCTCAGGTGCAGCTTCTGTGCCAGGTCTGCGTGGGGCACCCCGGCTGCTCACAGCCTGAAGGGGAGCCCATGGGAGCAAGTGTCTTCTCCACAGCTTTTGGGCCCATGTGGCTGGTTTGTAGTGCACTATCTTTATGTCCCATCTCACTCAGTCTTTATTCCTTCTGTCCTTTTATCGAATTATAACTGCCTCAAGCAGCATTAGACTTTCAATGCCAGAGAAAATTTCACTGCATGCCTAAAAATTGTATTTCAGTAACTATGGTACGCACAAAAAGTCAGATATAAACATTTGTTGCCCTTAAAACTCCCAGTTGCTGGAGTCAACTTGTCTGTGCTATCGCTGATCAGTATTTCAGCCACCACTGTGGAATATGTAACAGAGGAAAGTGCTTGGAAGGAAACAGCAGGGGATAGATTACAATGGAAACCATGTGTGCTGGAGGAATAATATTTACCTAAATGTGTCTATCACGTCTTCCCAAAGGAGGCTGCCATTAGGAGAGAATGGATATGAAAATGTTGCCTCCATAGATAAAAGTTGGGAATATAAATTTTTCTAAAACACAAACTTTAATATTCTTAATTAATTCCATATTGTAATAACAGAGATAAAGCCACATCCATAAAGGATAATACCATGTACTCCAAAGATATAAACCACAGTTTAATAAATAGCAACAGATGCCTCATGACTCATGTTCAGGGTGTCTGCGCAGGCCTTTACACGACTGGTGACTTCACGATGGGTTGAGGAGCAGAGAGAGAGGGACAGAGCCCAGTAAAGAAAAAGCAACTCCTGATGCATCAGACAAGGTTCAAATAACAATGAAAGTCACACCCTCTATTCTTACATGACATATTTTGCAAACTTTGGCCATGCTCTAAGCAGCATTCAAACAGATGAACTTTCAAGTTCAAATCCCTGGAGCATTTGATAAAAACAGGAGTTTATCACGGGCAACGTAGGCCCAAATTGTACATCTGGGTTAATGTTGATTTCTGTAGTGTCCTATAAATTCATGTACCAAACACTGACGTTCATCACCAGAAATCAGAGCACTTCAGTCCTACTGGGTTGAGACAGCTGGTCTGGCATCCCATTTGAGGAATTAGTGAAGTGTAACTCCAGTATCCAGAATAGTCCATCATGATGGCTTGGTAGGACTTCAGAGTGAATATCCCCCCCTACTTAGAGCACTTGCAGCAGTCTTTCTCCATGGTTCCTTGTCCCAGTGTACCACCAATAACAGTGTGGAGAACATGGTGGTGAAGGCAAATTCACAGAAAATAATTTTATATGAGAGGCAACCATGAGCCCTTCTGCCGCCTCCGGAGCATGTGCTTAACCCAAGGTGGTGGATTTACCATGAATTGGTAGTTCTTGGATAATGGGAAAATATAGTGGATTACATCAAACAGGTCTGGGTGCAGCAAGGAGGGGACAGCTGGAGAGAACAGCCACCCAACTCCTGGTTCTGTGTGAGAGCTCCAGGGAATGGCTTGGCCTTTGGAGCCTTTGGACCCTCAGCCCTGTTGGCTGGCCAACCCAGATGACAAAAGTGCTGGGTTTACTGGTAGGGGAGACTTCTCAACGCAGCTTTGGAGGAGATCGAGATGCTGAGGGCTTTTTAAGAAATACATGCTTGGCCTTTTTGGGCACCAAGTGCTGTCCCTGCTCTGCACCTACGACCATAACTGCCCCATCCTCACCCCCTCCCAACCACCATAACCACTATTCTTCCTCACCCCCAAATCTATACCTGGATGCTGCATGCTCAGGTCTCTACCTCCAGTCATTTACTCACCGCCCCCCAACTCTCCATGTGCCATCCCATCCCACTTACTCGTTAACCTCTTGTAGACCCATCCCCTCAACCACCACACAGCCCCACAGCCAGCGCAGAGCTGGTGGTGGGGCTGGGGAGCCCTTAGTTCCACACCATCAGGGGCAAAATGGTCCTGCCTGCAGCAGGAGGCCACATCTGAAAGGTGCAACCTCAAGATCAGCCTGCCTTTGATTTGTAGCCTCTCTTCCCATTTAGCATGGGTGATTTCTAGATTAGCAAGTGCTAAGTACAATGGAGTAATCGCCTCCTGCGAACAGCCAGGGTTAAAGCTGTGCAATAAAACCACGGGCGCCTCAACTACATTGTGCTATTCACACGGGGCGTCACACCTTCCAAATCCAAGTCTAGACAAGGCTTAAGAAAATGCAAATTCCTACATTATGTTATGTTGATCAGTATTTATCCTCAAGCCCCATCAAAATCAAGGGGAGTCTCGCGCAGACTTTTTGGCTGAAATCAGTTGCCCTGCTTACAGTATTGAAAATGTAAGATGCAGCCTCAAAATGAAGTAAAACATCAGCCACCCCCAAAGACACAAAATAAACAGCCAAAGTTCAAAATCCCTGTATCTGTAAGTTATATCTCCCACATAATGTCTTTAGCAAGTGAATTGTTTTTCTCTGCTGGGAAAAACCCTGCTGCAAATTCCCTCACTGCTTCAGATGGCAGATCAGAGAGTTCAGGCTTAGATTAAAAGCTTGATAATGGAACCTGGGTACTCATCATATTGAGCATCCAGAGAGGGGGTTTATTAATGTCTTGGGGACACATTAGGTGCAAAGGAGATTCCCTCAGACCTCAGATGGAAAAAGCTGGGAAATGTTTCAGAATTGCTGCTGTGTCTCATCCAGTGCCGTTCGTTTAGAGAGGGAGTCGTGAACTCCCACTCCTAATTAATCTCACCCTTGTTTGTTTCTTCTGATCCTTTAAATACACAAGAAACAATTCACTGTCCCTCCCTGTGAAGCTAATGCATGGTTTTGCATTTGCAAAAATGGTTTGCATTTTTCAGGGCTTGACTGTTTCACTTTGTCTA